TGCGCCATTGACCAACTAAAACCTGGTCTAAAGTCAATGGCGCAGGTTTTTGTTTTATAATAACAAGTTTAATTTATATAGCGCCTTTCCCAATCATTTCATACCATAGATGGACAATAGACATTTGCCAAGTCCAGAACGTGCGATTGCAGTTGCATACCACAGTAATAATGCAGAATCATAATCACAATCACAAAAAAAAACATTTATTTTATTTTAGCTAGTTTCTGAGGCATTTCTCATTTTCATTTAGCTTGAAGTACTAAAATAACTTCAACTGAAATCAAAAATACATTTTATAGATAACAATAATTAATAAAAATGGTGGAAATACTACAGATAACTCAAAAACAGATGTCAATTTTATTAAAATAATGCTATTAATAATACTGTAATGCTACTAATATTTGACTTGTCAAATATTGATGATGATTTTGCTGGAGATATAATGCGACGATTGTGATGATTTTCATGCACCTTTAATTTTGGCGTTTATATGCAAAATTAACTAAAGCTAAAATAAAAGTCAAAAATAAAAAGGATCTGTATATCTATGCAAAAATAAGACTTGGCTGTGAGTACGGTGATGTGCTCGGGGAACTTCATGCTGAAGTGATGTTGAGTGACTGTGATCCCGGCTCTTTCATCTCTTCTGCAAGAGGAGGTTTTGACCAAAAGCAGCGTTTTATCAGCAGATCTCTGCCACTGACGTGTTGAGCATTATTAATATCCTCTTGGAAGGAGCTGCTGGCGGGACTCAACTCTTTACGGTAGCAGAACAAGCTTCTGAAAACCAGCGAAAAACCCAACAATGAATCTGATTTATATTCATGTGCAAACTATATTACTTGTCAGAAGAATAGTTTATCCGGATTATTAATAATAATAAATGAAACTGCTTATTTGCAGGTGATTGTACTTCATGCACCAAATCAAATATTGTGATGACAAGTAAAAAACGGCAAAAGCTGTTTTATATTGAAAAAAAAAAACATTTAAACACGTATTTTTAAGATATTTTACATATGTTATTTATTCATTCATTCATTTACTGTGTTTATTTACTGTGTATTTCTTTCAGTGCTTTTGGTATGAGAAAAGCACATTATATACGTGTCAATAAAATGTATTAGTTTTATTAATAATAATAGAAGAAATGCTAAAACAAATCCTGTAACGGCCTAAACTGCTCTTAGCTGGTCTCCCAACCTGATCAGGCTGGCCTATTGAGGTTTTGAGCCGCTTGGTGCTGTAGACCAGTTTGGAAATCTAATGAAATAGTCTTTTGGAAACTTAAAGGTGCATTAAAATCATCACGACCACGATCATCATATCATATCTCCAGCAAAATCACCATCAAGTCATGTGACAGTATAGCATCATTGAGATACTATTATACTGTAGGGTTTTTTTAATTGAAGCTTGTTTCTGAATAAAAAATAAACAAGGTAATTTTTTTATGATTTATATATTTTTTATCGAATTATTTTTTTTTGTGTGTGTAAACTCACACTTGAGGGTTATAAAGTCATGATATTGCAGGATGATATGAGTTTATATCTCACAATTCTAAGAAAAAAAGCCAGAATTGTGAGATGAAAAGTTGCAATTATCTTTAAATTTTTTATATTTTTTTCCTGTGGCAGAAACAAGCTTACGTAGTTTTTATTCAATATTTTGAATTCGTTTTTATTTTTGTATTTATATTTAATTTTAATGTATATTTTTTGTCATTTTTATTATAGTTTTTTTTATAAATGTTTATATATTTTTTATTATTTGTTTTCAAGTTGTAGTTGTAGTTATTTTAGTTAAACAACAAAAAAAAGAAATAATATTGCCTTGGCAACTAGCTGAAATAAAGTAACTGTTATTTTAGTTTAGTTTAATTAACGGTTATTTTATTTCAATCATCAAAACTACTTTTTTATGGGTTTAGCTTTAGTTTTATGTAACGACAGTGTTAACTGTAAATGTTAAATCCACTCTTACTTCTTCATTTGTGTGTGTTTCAGTCT